GACTTCCAAGGCTGGAAAGATGTAGTTTTAGGACAGGGATTTTCAACCAAGGTGGTGCTGTATTCTGGGGTGCCTTGAGTTCCTTACAGGGGTGCCATAGAATATCATGCAATGCTAGTACTGTTAAGTGTGAAAACATGATTCACAAGATAAACCCAGAGATTTCACTGAATCCAGAATGTTAGAAAGATGACAACCAGTCAAAATGTTTTTGATTTCTTTGCAACAGAAGAATTGCTTATTTTTCTCTAGTTAAAAAATCAAGTGAAATGTAGGAGCTAACATGTTTCAAGGGGTGCCTTGAGCCCACAAAAAGGTTGAGAACTACTGGTTTAGAAAGGACATAGTTTCATAGTTTCTAGGGTCAGAAGGGACCTGACCAGAGGAAGATTTGATCACTTGCAAAGACATTTGTCTCTTCTGCTTTTAAAATTTTAGTTTACCTGGCTATAATTTTGTGTGAAGATTTGATTGTCTCAACGCACTATAATTTTTTATTGTGTGTGACCACTCTTTGTTATTGTGAGATAAAGTGGAGCCAGGTACAACCCCATCCTGTATGAGACATTTATTGCAGCGCAGCGTAACTACAGGTATATACTGGCAGTTCAGCATATGTTCAGGGTGTGTCATTCTGATCTTAATTTAAGAGTTAATGTTTTAAAATCGATCATTTTACTCTTTATTTTCATGATATGCCTGAAATCCTTATACATTAGTTGCCCCACAGCAACTATTTCATTTCCGGTTATTTTTTCTTAAAACATATTCTCTGTTTTTCCTCTACCTTTTCCTGATTCCCCAAAATTCAGCTTGTTTAACAGTGACATCTAATTGATGACACTAGTGTGTTTTTAACCTGTTTTCATTCTGAAACAGAGTCCTTGTGCCTACAGTGAAAATAGTTTGTCAGGGGTTTCTGGAACAGCCTCCCAACTGGAGTATTTGGAAAGATATGGGGTATTTTTCTCCACGGGTAGAGAATTTGGTTGGGTTTGAATTATTTAGGGGCCTGACACAAAGCCCAGACTGCTAAGAAAGTTTCTTCGAGGCTGGAGAAATTATTGAATCTTTGTTAGAGAGAAGGTGCACAAAGAGATGGAGTGAGTAACCAGTTGCTATGGTTTGAGAATTTCATAGAATGGGCATTGCTAGTTATGGAGCATGATAAAATTTACAGTATACACTAGGCAGTTCATATTCCTCTGGGTCAGGGCTGTGCAACTGGTGGCCTGTGCGGGTTCATGTGCCCTGTGAATGGTTAAGTTGAGGCTCCCTCCTCCCTTCTCCTGCTTCCCTGTTTTGGGCCTGCACCAGGGGCAGTATGGTTATGGTGTGGTGAGTTGCTGTGCAAGCCATGATAAAGTGGTGGAAACTATGGTGTCTGTGTAGCTTGCAGGGCATGAGGCCCCCAACTGCTTTGAAGTTTAACACCCATGGTCTGCATGACGTATGGCTTCAGTTTAATGTAGAGAGAAAATAGGTGAGAGGTAAAGTTAGAAAGTTATTTGAATTTGAACAAAGTAGCTCGCTGCTGTTCGTGTAGTTTTAAACTGCAAACAATTAATGACTTACCTGTATTTGAGTTTGGGCACAACGCTTTGCCTTGACATGTTCTCATCTCACAGTTATTGTATGATTTTGAGGCAGTCTAAATACATCTTATATTCTAACCTTTCTTTACTTAGTTTTCCCTCAAACCTTTCAACAGTTGGTATTTCACCTTATCTTCATGATACGTTTAAAATAGTATACATAATAGAAACATTCAAAAATATTTTATGTAGTTGGAAATTTTTTTAGCTTCAAATCTAAAAAAATGCTTTCTTTTATTAATGAACTTTAAAAATAAGTCCAGGTATAGAAAACATTATCTTCAGTGGTGGTTTGGACAACTTATAGCCAAGAAGATGAAGTTTGCTATGGGGGAAAAAATCACTTCTAATACATAAATACTAATGATATTCCTACAGAACATACTGGTGAAAGCAGTTGCTTACCAACTTTTGAGTGAAGAATGAGATCAGTGTTTGTTCATAGAGGGAAACTATGTAAACATTTGCAATTGAATAATTTAGAACTTGTATGGACTCTGTGGACAGCACTGAAGCAAGGTTTCTTACATTTGGAGCATATTTATAGAAGTAAAAGCATTTTCTAAACTTGGTTAGCAGGTCATTTTTATTTTAAAGTGCTGCTAACCTAGATTTTTGTTTCAGTCAGTTTTGGCTGCTTGTCAGTATTAGTCCTTAGTCATGTGTTGAATCATAAACAATTTGAAACAGACACTTGGCAGAATTCCTGTAGCTTTTGTGAAATTCCCACAGAGTAAGTTGTTTATATGTGAGAAGCACATCTGCATGGGCAAAACTACCAGATTTTGTGTGTCAGCTCAATTAAAGTTTTCATTTAGAATGCTTTTTTTTGGAAGGTGACTAAACTTTGCCAAACAACTGCAGTTTACCATGAAAAGGCAATATTTTAAGGATTTTTTCATATGGACATACCAAGTGTAAGGCTACTGGAAGATTTTATTTAAAGAACTCTTTTGATTGGGGGAGGAAAAATGATGGTAAAGCTGGTCAACAATTAACATTAGGAATTATTTTAAAGGAAAATACAAACGTCTTATTATTCAAATGTTAGATTTTATCTTCAACAGGCAAGTCGTACTTAAAAATAAAGTAAGTAAGTAACTTTGTAAAATGTCTACCTATATTAATGACTTGAAATTAAAATGTTTTTCTTTGATTTAGAAAAATCTGACAAAGCAAATATAGCTGTAGGAGAGAGAGACATAATACAGCCTTCCAATAGCAGAAGCATACAACCAGAGATACAAGACCAGTCTGTCTGGGGAAATCACACTGATGGTGACCTCATCAGAAGTAAGTATTTCCAGAACAAATTGCTGTCATTTAGACTTGCTTTAGTAGTGTAATGGGTTACTGCCTGTTGACTCAGTTAAATGTGTGTCAAATGCAATTGTGTTGCAACTATAATGCATGTCAACAGAATTTATTTTCTGGAATGATTCCTGTCAGCATTTATCAGCAAGGGGTTGAAACCAAGATATAAACAAGATGTTTTGGTGATTTGAATGCCTCCTTATTGCAGAATGTTAAAGAACTTGGGTACAATTTACCGTTTAAAGACATAACATCATATATGATACAAAGTAATTTGTGTTGTAAGTTCATGATGGGGACAGTTTATGTGGTAGATACTCTAGTTGCAGTGTACTGTCACCTCTGGTTTCTCAAGTTATACATATAAGTGGCAGAATAAACTAGGCTCAGAGGAGCTTTTGTAGGATATGGCCTTCCATTCAGATGCATTTAACACTGACATGCTACCAATGTATAAGGAAAGTCAAGCTATAAAGTAGTACTGTTGCAGGAATGCCTTGCATAACAAAATAATCGCAACAAATACAAAATTAGAAGAATGCTGCAAGACTTATCTTTGAAGAAGGGTTGCTCTTGGATTAAACTTCAGAACATTTCACAAGCACACCTTAGTTGAGTTGGATTTGTCAAAAAAGATACAAAATAGTACATATTTTCTATGTTTAGTTGATGGATGATGTATAACAAGTGGTTCATTCCTAGTTGCACATTCCTGAAGATTAAAAAATATTTTTTATTTTAGCTGCCAGGACAAATACTGCTTTTACTTTAATACTGCAAATATTTGAGCTTTAGACAGCATAATAGAATGATAGCATGGTAAAGTGTTCTCTAATTATAGGATGTATTCCCTGGCAGAATATGCTAGTTGCAAAGAACTGTTTCAACTTTCAACTGAAGTTGAATGGACTAACACTGGTCACGCTAAGAGTTAGTTTCTCCATGTTCCACTTGTACAGAGCCATTAAGCTTTGCTTGTGTTAAGCTTTACTTGTGTTGTCCCATCCTCAAGAAAGTCTTTCTTTCTCTTTGTATGAGCAGTTGAGTAACTGTCTCTCTCTAAATCTCACCTTCTGCCTTTTAGATGATGATTGGCTCTCAGGAAGTATTTGAAATATTCTGGATTCATTGTACTGGTGGTTTAGGTGCTTTATACAAAAACTTAAATTACCTAAAGATAAATCCATAAATATTTGAAAGAGTTATTTGTAAATGGTTGTAAGTTTATGCTATGCAATATAATAGAAGAACTGTGCACAATTAATAGGTTGCTTACCCTAAAGGCTGTCTAAGGATGTAAGGTAGTACAGTTCAAAATATAGCATAAAAGCAGAGTAGGCATAACTGAAAAGTTCTTTAGGAAAGGTTCATGTTAAGGCATTTGGGGAAGGAGTGATGTTCTTAGTGTAATAGGTGGCAAACAAGTTGACAAAGGTGAGAGAGAGCAAGGGGACAGGTGGTAATAGTGAAGGAGACCAGGTTACCAGAAGCTGAGGGATAGGCTGAAAGAGAAGATAAGTTTGAATTGTATGTATGTAGGGTAAGATCAGTTGATGGAGAGGAGCCTCTAGCTAGAAGTATTTTGTAGGTAGTATTTTAGATGGGCTGATCTGAATGGAGAGAGAAAAATATAGCAGTATGTTGCAAAAATAAAGATATAGAAACTACTGCATGAGCTTTGTTCTTAACAGTTGGCTTGGAGGAAGAGGGAGGAAAGGAAAAAGAGAAGGGTTCCTTTTTATAGGTATGAAACAATAGGACTTAATAAGTGCATGGAAGTGAGCAGAGTTGAAGGCCACGTTTATATTGTCTCCTTGCTGGGCCCCAGATTGCCACTGAAGAAATACACCCTGCTCACTTATTCCTGCTCTGCTTTCATTCAGCTGATTAGGCTGTGAGTGGCCTGAGCCTTAGTACCACTCTCAGACTTTCTTGGGAGATCCAGAGAACAGGGCTGGCACAGGAGTTCAGAACTGTTTTAACTCATGGGTAGTGTTTAGGAAGTGAGTTTTAGGTAAACTTGGAGTAGCAGAAGGCGCGTGGGATTTATTTTCTTGAAGAATATCTAGGCTTTGCAGGGAGGCAGTAAGAGTTGACTTCATTATTGTAGCTTGGTAATAGGGGTATTGTGTCTTTTATACAACTAGGAGAAATGATAGGGCATAAGATAAATATGTATTTACCATTGATTAAACTAGTTCCCATTTGAAGTCAATGGAGACTTTGCCACTGGCTTTTAATAAGCCTAAATGCCTGTAAGGGAAGGGTGCACAACTCAAAGTGTGTTAAGTGCTACTTACAAGTCGTGTTTGACAGTGGAAGGTTGCCCAGGTGCTGTGTTACTCTCAAAACACCAAGGTGTTAAACTTATAGAATGATAAAGCTTGTTTATTCAAACAGCCTTCTTTGCCTACTTAACTGCTGTTCCCTCCAATTCCCTCATGTGATCCTCTGGCCAATGAAACAACTTATATATATCACTCTTAAAGGTATTCACCCAGGTGCATGTGTAGTCTTGCCAAGTTGCTTGGCCAGTGATATTACCCTGACAGGTCACATATTTTGCACTATTGCCCTGAGGTTCTGCTATATGATAAAACAAATGAGTACTGAATCCATATATACTATTTTTTTTTTTGCTTTTAGTCTGCTCTGATATTTTTATTTAATATTCTTAATGCTGCACAGAGTACTTCCCCCAAGAAAAAGGAATTGAAAATAGTGATTCTAAATAATCTTTTTTTAGTGTTTGCCAGTTGTGGACACAAGGAAAGTAGTCTTTTTTTAAATTGGCTGAAACACAAATATGTCTTGCAGTGTATAAAAAGTTTTATGCGCTTTATTTTACCCAATAATTGACACTTAAATAACAGAACAAGTAGAATAAAGAGAATTTTGTTTGTTTAACACACTGTTTATGTATCATCCTAAATAGCAAGTTGTGTAGCTCAGCAGGATAATGATTCAGCTGAGAATATTGCATCATTTGACAAAAGTTCAAAGAATATTGCATATAAAAACAGGTCAGAGACTAGAAGTGAACATTGTTTTGGGCACACAGGTCACTTTTTAAAAAGGAGAATTAATAAGCTGCCTCTTCAGATAATTAGTTTCTGTGTTAAATTAATTTTAGACAAAGCAGACTATAAATTTGTCATCTATTTTCCACTATTACAATCATTCCATTTCTTTTTTCCATATGGCCTGTTTGTCCACCCACATGGTTGATACATGTTCCTTTTGTAATGTGGAGCCTTTAGTTTTTCACACTATAAATATTTCCATCTGTTAATTTTCCAGGTTTTTCTTGTTTATATCTGTTTGTTATTCTGCTGTATATGTAACTAAACTCATCAGCCAATTTTACTGGCTTTTGTGCAACAAAATGCTGTTGTAGGGACTCTGTAGTAAGTTCACTATTTATCATTGCTTACTTTCATTTGTAAGCACTGTTTGCCAAACAATCAAATGAATGCAATAGCCATCCACCATCACCACCTGTACAAGGCCAGATGATGGGTCCATCTATACCAGTATTGTGTTTCTGACAGTGGCAAGTTGTGGCTTTAGAGGGGGAGAGTATTTGAATGGGTATATCTTGCATGATCCATTCCCATCATATCTTCCCTGGTATCCACTATCATTGGTTTAGATGTGCTAGAAGATGCATTCCTGATTTGTTCTAAAAACATTAATTCTCGCTTTGGATGGATAAACAGGGGAGTGTCAGGTAAGAAAAGAGAAGTTGTATTAGCCTTCTGTATTTGAGACTCTTCCTGAAATATTGTGTCCAGGTCTTTGGTCTGCAGTTTGGGAAGAATGTTGATAAACTGAAGAGGGCGACCATCGCCTGCTGGAATTCACCATCCAGCACAAGGTGGCAAAGGCATGCAGTAAGGCAGCGGCCCTAGATTTTAGGAGGGCAAACTTCAGCGAGCTAAGGAGGATA